AAATAAATGAAAACTACTCTTTTTAAAAATTGAAATGCAAACATAAATTTGAAGTTCATAGTTTATACGTTTGTACGCATCTTATATCTAATTTTTCACTAAGTTGTACGAATCATTTTTGGATATATGACTATATTACGTGTATTTTCGGTTTTTCAGAAAAAGGAAATTTGAATAACTAATTCTAACACAGAACAGTTTTGAAATCCGATAACGGATTTTATAACAATAATTAAAATTCGTTAACCACTTGGATTTTCTTTTGATTCATAGAAATTTCTTTGATCAAAAGCAAAATCAATTTTGATAATCACAAAGATGAGAAATATCTGTCATTAAAGATGGTCCTAATATTTTAGCATGAAACCCGGTTTAAGATTTTGAACCCATTGGGCATGGAACCGGTTACATCCAATCAAGCCCAATGGTGGTGAGCTTGATCCTAGCTTCAGTTTTTCTTATTGCATGTATTTAGAAATACTTATTAAATTGAGCATACTTTTTCCATAACCCTCACAAGTTTTAGCTCACAAAAAAAATGCAAAAAGTAAAAGATCGATCATTAATCCAATCATTTTTTTTGCCAAACCTTATTATATTATAGTTGCATACAATTCAAACAAAACAAAAGCGAAACATGTTTTCATTAAATATAAGTTGCTTAAAGTTTATGTAACATCAAATGAGCTCCAAACTCAGGTTGAAGAGTTAAGATGGTATGTGGAGAATGAAAATATGATGGAGATAGATCAAAGCTAAAGTTTTGTAGAATCATAGCGAGTCTCATTTTTGCTTCAAGGAAAGCAAAATTTTGTCCAACACATATACGTGGCCCCCCACTGAATGGAAAGTATGATGATTGTCCCTTGGATGCTTTTGACACACCTTCGGAAAATCTCTCAGGGTTGAACTCCTTCACATCATCCCCCCATATCTCCTTGTCATGGTGCATCAGCAAGACATGTAAAAAGACGTAACATCCTGCTGGTAAATTTATGTTCCCTAATTTGGTATTCGGTATTCGGTATTCGGTTTTCCCTTCCCAAAGACGAGTGAAACTTCGTCTCTTGCACGTGCTTGCCAATTTGTGTGTTGACCCAACAAGACCATAGTCCAAACAAGCAAATTTACTGTGGTCTCTTGTCCGGCGATGTAAAAAATCTTGCATCCTTCTATGATTTCCTCGATGCTTAATCCAGAATTACTACTTCCATCTTTTTTGATTTCTTTGGAATTCGAATCCAAGAGTACACCTAACAAGTCATCTTTACTATTTTCCCCAGCTTTCGTAACGATCATTCGTTTATCAATAATACTCGTTATCAAAGCATTCATTTCTCTGTTTATTTCCTTCATCCTCTTATTTCTTTTTGTTGGCAATAAGCTACTTAAGTTTGATTATTAGTAAATAATAATTCTTCCTTGCCGAATATTAGGGGCACCCAACTTTCATAGTTGAATAAAAAACAATTTCAATGGAAAATATATGGTGATAGATGCATATACCTGCACAACTTCAATCGACCCTCTTTATCACTAGTTGCTCAATTTCTCCAAACTCAATCTTCACTCTTGTATCTCCCTCGGTGATTTGTTCCTAAAATTGAGCCATTTTTGTTCCTGAAATCTGCCCTTGATTTTTTGCTAGGTTATTGGGTGTTTTCGAAAATCAAGCGCCCAATTTTTTGTTAATTACAGGGACAATCAGACCGATGTTTCTATTTTAGGGTTCTTCATCTTTCTTGCTTGTTGTGAGTTTCTTTCTTAGGGTTCTTCATCTTTCTTTCTTTTTTTTTCTTGTGATTTAGGRTTTGATGTGAGTTTTWKATTTAGGATTCAAATTTAGTTTTTATACGCTTTCTGGGATGG